CTCCATCTGAGCAGTAAGCCTGGTCTGAACAGGTCTTTTGCCTCAGATCTGCCCAATCCAATACGATGTTTGTTTTCTTGACTGCTGCTGCCGTGGGCATTGATTGTAGATCCAAGTCAAAGGAAATTCTCGGCCACTTCAACTTTTATTTTCAGTCTATGAAATGGTTGAGTGGATTCCAACTCAGAGCGCCCCCATGTGACAGAGCAGAAACACCCCACAGACTTTCCTAGGCTGGAGTCTTTACAGAAACCAATTGGCAGGTCCGTCGCCTGTAGAACTGCTGGGTGGGTTTGAACCACCGACCTTTCCATTAGCAGCCAAGCACTTAGTTGTTGCACCTCTAGGGCTCCTGGAAAAGTATGCCCTAAAAGCTTCCCTCTATCTATGGTGGGCACAAGAAGGTGGAACAAGAAGAACCCAGCCAGGCCCCCTGACTAAGACAGCAGCATGCCCCCCAGGTGACCTCTCCCCATGCCCCATCCAGGTACCTGGGAGATCAGGATGCTACTATGTCAATCCTGGATGTATCCATGATGACTGGCTTCTCCCCGGACACCGCTGATCTTGACCAAGTAAGAAATCTGGGATCAGCAGGAAAGGGATTGGGGTCTGGGAGACGCTGGGGGCATGGGAGTGGGTCCAGGAGGAATTTTCACAAGCCCCATCCTTTCCCAGTTAAGCAAAGGTGTTGACAGATACATTTCTAAGTATGAGATGAACAACGTCTTGTCTAACAAGAACACCCTCATCATCTACCTGGACAAGGTAAGGCTCCCATCGGTACCTTGACTCCTACCTGACTGGCCTTTTCTTCCTGTGTCTTTGTCTCTGGGTTGGACTAGTCCCAAGTTGGGAAGAAACATATGAAACCAAGGGATTGACATAGGGAGTAATCACTCAATGACTAGACAAAAGGTAGGTTGTTTGAACTACATTGGAGGGGATGCAGAAGAAAGGCCTGGCAATTCAATTCTCAAAGTTCCCAGCCTTCAAAACCCTATGAAACACAGTTCTACTCTGCAATACACAGGGGCACCAGGGCAACAAATCAACAACAACAACACTCAAGAATACTTAGAAGACTCTCTCATCTCTAACCAGTCGTGTGCCAGCGAACTTTCACATTCCCATTCTGACCTTTTTGGCTCGCCATCTGCCTTCCTCTTTCTCTCTAATGTTTGGGATTTCACCTTTCCCTTCTGGGTTTATTCCCATTCCCATTGCCACGTTCAACTCCTAGCTCAAAGGTTGGCGGTTCAAACCAACCAGACGGGCCTCTGGAAACAGACCTGGTGTTCTGTTTCCAGAAGGTCCTGGCCTTGAAAACCCCAAGGATCAGTTCTACTCTGCACACTTGGGGTTACCATGAGTTGGCACCAACTTGACGGCAACCAGTGATAATGATTATTACTGTTAATGGGCAGAGCGCAGAGCATCAGGCTGAGAAGTAAATGGATCTGTTTGTGGGTGGTACAGATGGCAAGATTTATCGATGTTGTTAAGAGTCATCAAGTCGACTCTATCTCATAGGGATCCTGTATAGGGTTTCCGAGGAGCAGCTGGTGAG